CGGTGGCACATAACAACAACCGTGTTGTTTAGCATCCTTGAAGGTAGATTTTCCCAATGTAATATGTCTTTTCATTTCTTGACTGCCACTCTCTTGAGTGTCGATTGTAGATAAGTAAGATAAACCACTGACAACTTGAACTTTTTCTCCATTTGTCACGATGTTACCTATTGGTCCAGTAGTGAGTATTTTTTAAAACTGTGATTTTAATGACAGGTTACATAAAATTGGGTTTTCAGTCATTCATTGTAGTACATTTTCCTTCCTCCACACTGAGGGTGATAGTTTTTGAACTTCTGTAAGTGCTTCAAGTGTTCTTCAGTTTCAGTATGCAGAGTTATGTCATCTGCACAAGGCAGGCTGTTGATGAATATTCCCACAATCTTTCTGTCAAATTCATCTTCATATAGTCCAGCTTCTTGACTAAAATGATTTGTTCAGTCTACAGATTGAATAGTATGGAGGATACCACCTTGGCACACAATTTTCTTAATTTTAAAGCATATAGTATTTCCTTGTATTATTCAGACAACCCTTTCTTGCTCTATGTAGAAGTATTACATGAGCTCAACTCAGTGTTCTAAGATAACCATTTTTCATGATTTGTTATAATACACACACTCAAATATTTCACAAAGTCAATAAAGCACAGACAAAAATCTTTCTAGTATTCTCCATTTTCAGCCAATATCCATTTAATATCACCAATGATATTCCTTATTCCTTATTCCTTATTCCTTATTCCATCCACAGCCTCTTCTGAATTCAGCTTGAATTTCCAGCAGTTCCCTGTCAATATACTGTTCTCTTCCAGCTATTTTTAAGTCGGATTCAGTAAGATTTCAGTGGTAACCCAAATTTCAGAAAGGCTGCTTTACTTGTACACGCAAGCAGTGTATGTGAGTGTCAGAGCAAGTTGCTGAACCCAGAACCAGGTGTGCAGAACTCAACTACATTGTTGCTACACCTCCCAGTTGTTTAGACAGTTTGGGGAAAGGGCAGACTAGTATTGAAATCTTATATGTTCTGTCCAACACGGTTGTTCATACCAAAAACTGGCATCTTTCATGCTTTCTTGTCTCTTTGTATTATTTGTACAAGAGTAAATGTGGATGCAGTGTTCTCCACCCTTTGCAAAGCTTAAGCCAATCGGACAAGTAATACTGTGAATGGATAAGCAGGAAGAGGCAAAAGTTTTTAAAAAATCTGAGGAAGAGGAAGAAAAATTGAGTAGCTGATGCCATGACCTGAGGAAACAGCAAAGTGGTTCTCAAATGCAATGGTGATAGAGTGGACTGGGGGAGGAAGACCCCAAGATCCAGGCACACATCCTCAATCTAAACAAGCACAGGCGCAGAGTACCTCCAGGCCTCTGCAGACTGCAAGGGACCAGGATGGTGAGGATGTCAGTAGCAACTAGGAGTCAAAAGGTCTCGCCTGTATTTTCCAAACTGTTAAGTCTGCTCAGTCCTAGGATGAGAAGTCTTAATAATTAGCAAAAAGGAATTTTCTGCTTATCTGCTTGGATGAGATTGAGGACAGAATAAAGGTGATTTGAAGGGAATAAAGACATCTACATTCTTTGTATTTCTGAATTTAGGAACTGAGATGTCACAGTATGGGGACCGTCACTGAATGTCATTTAAAATAGCAATACAAAATGCTGTTTGTCTTCCCTATGTCCTCTATCAGAGATGTGGTACCCCTAATCTGCCAGTGCCCCCCACCTCAGCCTCCAGCCACCTCCTTCTCTGCCTTACCTGGGGAGCAGGTGTTTGCGGCTGACACACAGGGCCGTCTGGTAGTCCTGGGTGACACACACTTTGTGAGGGCTGCATTTCACCTTCAGGCAGGGGTCCTTAGCTGGGTCGAGGGCTAAAGCAAAAGAAGAACAGGAGGAGAGTGAGACCTCCAGGGAAACTGCATTTCTCCTTTAACACATATAAACAAGTGGGAATGAACTGACCATATGTTTACACTGCATGCTGCTTTCTTAGGCTTAGAGGATTGGAATAGAAACCCAACCCAAGGGGAGTTCTGTGTCTATTGTGTACATTCTTCTTTAACATCTGGACAGGCATTCTTTTGTGCTTTAGGGAGTTTAAGCTTCTTCATTTTAGGCTAAAATTACTATTGAAACTCCTTTTGAAATTTTATGTGATCCAAGGCCTCTGTATCTCCAGTCATTTGTCTGCTATTGCTGTACAACTTCATCCATGCCTAATTTCACTTATTTCCTGCAACCCAAAAAGTCCTCGAGGACAGATTTTTTTTTTGCCTTAGTTCAATTGGCATCGACTGTGCATAAGCCTATTGTAAGTTTTCTAAAGAACTTCAAGATGCTCAAGAGAGTTTTTGCCACACAAAGTTATAATGTAGGAGAGAGAGAACTATTTGGACATAAATATTTATTGCAAAGAGTAGAATTAGATAAGGGCCATGATAGGCATATAAAAATGATTCTAGTGCTCAAAAGGGAGGGAAAAAGGATCAATTTCTGGAGCAAGGATTAGTGAAGAATTAATACATGAATTGGGAGTTGAAGAATGAGCAGGATATTGAAAAAACATGATGGAACAGCTAGTCAGGCTAGGGGACCAGTTCAAGCAAAGGCAGAGAGACACTTTTGGGTAATCATAAGCCAATCAAGCTGACTAGCAAGTGTAGCTTTGTGGGCGGGAGTAGTTAGACAGGGAAAAGTCGATTTCAACAAATAACCACAGGAAGGGTCTCCAAAGACAGCAGCACATATATATTGCCACATTTTCTAGAACAGGCTGAGCGGCAGGCCCTTGGCGAATCAGCCCTCCTCATGCTGAGGCACACAGGCTCATCACCAGCAGAGAAGCGACCTCAGGGGATTCTCTGCAAAACAAAAGCAATTGCCCCATCTCCCTGTTCCAGACCTAAAGTCTATTAGGCAGTAAATCTCTCATAACTGCTCTACACAGCCAGAGGAGGTGATGTTTTCTTCTATCTTCCCCATACAAACATTTGGCTAAACAAATTGGTATCTCAAACAAGGACAGAAAATTCGCTTTAAGAAATACCCCGGTCCCATGAGCCACTGCGCTGCTCAGCTACCAGGACTCCACTCCCACACAGAGGAAGTCATGACTCCTCTTATCCCATTTCAGGCTCAGGCTCTGAACAGCATTTTCTTCAGAAGGCTGCTGAATACTCCTCAAGGGATTCTAACATATAACATCCAAAGGCATTTCTGCTTCTTGAGCCATGCAGAGAAGTTCCCTCCACTGTAGCAGCTTCAGCACAGCGGGGAGCAGCTCAGTGCACACAGAAAGCAGGGTACATTTTTAGGCCAGTCAAGTCAGCAGCGTAACATAGGCTGTGGACCCAGGGGAGACATCTGTCAGATTTTCTTCCCAAGGGATGTGCCCAGGCACCTGGTTCTTGACAAAGGAGCACAGGTTGCAAGATAAAAGTGAATCTGTCTGGGGCTTCAGGGACAGGACATTTGCTTCAAGCCCTTAAAATTGAGGGCTGCTTCCGGGAAACATATACAAAAGGCCATGAGTCTGCCCTTAGAGTCTTCTGAGGTTAAAGCTTCCAGAAACTTACAACAAGAGATTCTGGGTCCCAGGTAGGATCCTCTTGGTTCCTAGGATATCCAGACAAGAGGCCTTCAAGCCAGTGCATTCTCAGCTTAGAGCACTTCTGCTGTGCACTGTCTCCCCATGTCTGGGGCTGGTGTGCAGCCAATTTTTACTCGGTTTCTAAGAACCTTCCAGAAAGACCAAACAAAGATAGATAGATAGATCAAGCCTCAAACATGAGCCTTTGATTAAGGGTGATTACAGATCACCACTAATGATGACTATACCATTACTACTTATTGATTGTCATGAGGTCTGAATACATTGATGATGTTGTTGTTGTTATTTTTATGTGCCATCAAGTTGCTTACAACTCATAGTCACTATGTCCAACAGCTCTGAACCCTCCTCTATCCTGAGCCAACCTTATTGTCGCTGACACACCTATCCCTATTACCCCAGTCACTGAATCGATCCATCTCATCAATAGTCTTCCTCTCTTGCGCCTTTTCTCCACCATTCCCAAGCATGGCGTCCCTCTCCAAAGACCGATCCCTTCTTGTACATGGCCAATGTATGTCAGACAGAGCTTCAGAATCCTCTCCTCCAAGGAGCAGCCTGCCTTCACCCTCTCCAGGGCAAACCTGTTTGTTCTCTTAGAAGTCCACGATATATTTAACACTCTTCTCCAGCACCACAGCTCAAAGGCATCAATTCTCCTATCATCCCTACTCACTCTCCAGCTGTCTGATGCATAGCATTTAACTGCAAAAACCATGGCCTAGAGCAGGCACATCTTAGTCTCCCGGCTGACATCTTTGTTCTTCGGTACTCTGGAGAGGTCTCTGACAGCTGACATTCCCAATGCAATTCATATTTTTCAGCTGCTGGTACCAAGAGTGTTGACTGTGGAGCCAAGGAAACTGAGGCTGTTAACAATCTCACTCTCTTCACTGTCTATCATAATGCCATTAATTGGCCCAGTGGTAAGAATCTTTGTTTTCCTGATGTTGAGTTTCAATCTACATATAAAGCTGCGATCTTTGACTTTCTGCATCAAACACTTCAGGTCCTCCTTAGTTTCAGCAAGCAAAGTTTGCATAATGCACAATGCAGGTTGTTGATGAGTCTTCCTCCAATCCTGAAGCCACATTCCTCATAGAGCCCAGTTAGAGAGTGCTTAAAACCAAATAGTCTTGGCACTTGGTAAGTACCTAATAATACCTTTGCTAAATTGTTCATGTGCATGCACACGCATGTATGTGTTGCCCCAGGGTGACTAATAAGCCTCTATAATAAGAGGAACAATAGGTAACACTCACTGAGTATTTCTGGCTACAGGGAGTGAACTAAGCCCTCTAATTGGATTAGAATATTTAATCCTTCCAACCACCCTAGGAGAGAGCTGCTGTTAATGTGTCCATTTTACAAATTGTAGTCTTAAAGATAAGTTGCTAGGGGAAGGCCAAGAGGATATTTTACACCTAATCTGTTGCCCCACTATTTGTGCCAGTTTGTCACACAGTGGTGACTTGACAGCTTCACCCTGGAAGAAGTGCCACTGAGAAATCAAAAGACAGCAGACTCATTATGGTTACTGGGTTTCATACTATGATAGACTGGGGAGAAGAACCTTGGAAACTTTAATTTTTAGGGTGGAAAGACCACAAAAGTCATATATATAGAACAGAAGCATTGTCTGAAATAAAATGATAGAGGTGAGCTATTCAGGTTTGAAGGTGCTAAAATATGACTGGAAAAGAGCTGCCTCCTCAAAGTAGAGTTAAACTTACCGATGAGGATTGAATATTGCCTTCAGAACTTTCATTTACTTATGCGGTATTGCTCCATGGCCTTCACAATTACTAGCTATGCATCAAAGAGCTGAATAATGACTAAGAATGACAGAAGAAGAAGAACCAATGCCTTTGAGTTGTGGTGCTGAAGAATAGTCTTGAATGTACAACGGACCACCAAAAAAAACAAGTAAGTCTGTCTTGGAGAGGGTGAAACCAAGTTTCTCCTTGGAGGCTAGGATTCTGAAGCTCCATCTCATATACTTTGGGCACATGGCCAGGAGGAACTGGTCCTTGGAGAATGACATCATGCTTGGAAAGGTGGAGGGACAGCACAGGAAAGGAAGAACACAGATGAGATAGATTGATATAGTTACTAAGGTAATGGGGATAGGTGTGTCAGAGCTGGTGAGACTGGCTCCACATAGGGTAGGCTTCAGAGCTGCTGTACATAGGGTTGCTATGGGTCACAGGTGACTCGATGGCATATAACAACAATAACAGCTCCATGACAAAGAATAACAGTTAATAAAAGTCTTATTCAAATTTGCACAACAACTAATTGCAGAGATGAAGAAATTGAATTTGTTTACTAACTTCTGCATTCTGAAATGGTTCAAACATATAATTAAAATGCATTACTGGTAGTTACTGGTGATCAGAAAATAGAAGTTGGAAACGAAGAAGGATCAGTGATTGAAAAATATGTCCTTGGTGACAGAAACAACTTGCAGACATTGAATATTAGAATTTTACAATATTCATGAGTTACTAATTGGAAAGCTCCTTTTGAAACAACGTAAATGGCAACTATACACACAGACTTTATCAGATGAAATACACAGGAATCAAATCAACTATATTATATAAAGACTTGAAGAAGAAGTTCAATATCGTCAAGACTACCAAAGTATAATGAAATGTGCAAAAACTTGACTTGCGAAGTCAGAAACATGTTGACATTTCCCAAGCTGAAAGTAACTAAGAAAACATCCAAGTATGTTGTTGTTGTTGATTGCCTTCAAGTCAAATGCAACTCACAGGGGCTCTATGAACGAAAGACCTGAAGCTCCTCTACAACTAACGACATTTATCAAAATTCATAGATTTTCCAGAGGCATATTATTTAAGAAGGGGATGCTACTACTGCTTCCAAACCTGTCACATAGTATGCAATTGTTTTTTATGTGCCATTGAGTCACTTGTGATGTATAGCAACCCTATATGTACAGCAGCTCCGAAGTCTTCCCTATCCTGAGCCAGTCTCACTAACTCCAACACACCAACTCCCTTCACCCCAGTTACTGTTTCAATCCATTTTATCTGGGGTCTCCCTCTCCTGTGCTGTCCATCCACCCTTCCAAGAATGATGTCCAATGACTGATCTCTCCTGGCCACATGTCCAAAGTAAGTGAGTTAAGCTTCAAAATCCTAGCCTCCAAGGAAAAACTTGGTTTCAACCTCTCCAAGAACAGACCTCTTGGTTTTCTTGGCAGTCCAAAGTATGTTCAAGACTCTTCCCCAG